CAGACAAGTGAGTTTAAAATATTTTTTATCTGTTCCCAAGCACCACAACTCCAGCTTCCTTTTCCTGAAGGAGGTTCGCCCCTGGAAACGCTATACCTTTTGCTTTATAGCTCAACTTGCACCAAGGCCTCAGGGTAGGTGAAAGCAGTTTTATCTGGGAAGCTTAAAGGAGAAGCTTCCCAGTTCTTAGGGGGTTCATTTTTATTAGGTATTATGCCAACATTGCTAAAATGGCTCAATACCAACCATGACTGACCACTTGGCCCCCTCACCTCTCTGAGAACTGCCAGCTATAAAATTTCAATTCCTGCAAATGAAACCATTATTTATATGAATCTACTCCATTATAATTTGGCTCAATCATTTTTGGCAACTGACTGGGAAGGAGCTATAAGAAGTCTGCAGAGTGGGTTCGCTTTGTGTTTTGTGAATTGCCTGTGGTCACCTAAGTCAAGCAATTCCCATGTGCTAGATTAAGGTATGCTCATAAGTGATGAGAGTCTTTTGTTGCAAGGTGATTGGCAGCGGCTGTTCTGGCAGTCTGGCACAAGTGATTGATGACAGCAACTCCCGTTCTGAGAGCTGATTGGTGGGTCCCAAACTAGGACAAAAATCATTTGTGGCTCCCTCTCCTTGATGAAATACATGGGAAATGCTAGCCTAAATTATTTCCTTTTTCACTATACCACTTTCAAGTACCAAAAGTCCCCTTCACAGGGCTGGCACTATTACCAGTGAGGACCTTCCTTTAAGGCTCCTGGCTGTCATCTCAGTGGAGGAGTGAAGAGATAAGCCTTCATTTTCCCTGCTGCTGCCTTTGGAGTGTGAATCAGCGCCCCCCCCCCATCCCTTTAATTCACCAAGGAAAAGCAAGATATGTAGCTGCTTGCTATGTTTTTAAGTGCACATCTAGTTTGGCTCCAGGGCATTAGATGCAGGGAATACTGCTGTTAATCCAGGCAAAAGTTCCAACCTGACTCAGAGGTGATTATAGTCTTTCCAGGCCAGGCAGATCCAAAAGGGGTGTGTGTATGTATTATGGAGTCAAGGAACCTTATGCTGCCTGCTCTATCCTACAGCTTCATTACCCACCCACCCCCCACATCGGGGCAGCAGCAGAGAGGATGAGGGGTTTTGCTTTTAGCCTCAGCAGATTCTGCAGAACCTGTTCTTACCATGATGCTCTTGCCCTAAGCCCTTAGCCCTAATCATAGCTGTCAACTTGGAAATTCCCTTATTCCGAATAGGATTCCTCGCAAGAAAAGGGAAAAGTTGACAGCTATGGCCCTAATTTCAAACCAAAGGGTAATTATTGTTTGTTTTACTTCCTTGGCTCACATTTTGCCCTTGTTAGCCTTGCTTCTCCCATTCTTCACCTCTCTTGTCATCACAATTAAAATTTGAGGCTCCAGTCCTATAACCATTTAGCTGAGAATAAGCCTGTTTGAATTCAGTATGGCTTATTGCCTCTGACTCTGAATAGGATTGCTCTGCAAGCCTCCTTGAGTAGATGCTACTCTATATATTGCCTTGAATTCATCATCATGGGAGGAAAGAGTCTGTCTTCAATTGTAGATTTTCTCTCTTGCCACCAAAAGGCTGCTGTGGAATCTTCTTTCCAGTGCAACACAGTAGGAGCTGGAAGTTGGGTTGGTGGAGGAGGGTTGAAGATTGAGGAAACCTCGGAAGCATCCTAGCAGAAAGGCATGGTGGTGATAATAATAGGGAAAAGCCAGCCAAGGTAGACATTTGTCCAACAAAGGGATGGAGAATGAGTGTCTTTCCAAATGTTTCTGGACTACAGCTGCCATCATTCTTGACTACTGGCCATGTTGACTTGAGCTCATTGGAGTTGGAATCCAGCCACATCTGGAGAGCCACATGTTTTCCCCACACCTGTTTCACCTACTGCTTTTTGAAGGGGAGTGATACTTTGTAACTTTATCAGATAGGATTATCCAAGCTACATCAGTGGATGCTAGCCCTGATGGCTATGCTCTTCCTCCATCATCAGAAGCAGTATGCTTCTGGAAGCCACAGGAGGGAAGAATGCTCTTGTGGATGCATCCTGCTTGCAGGTTTCCCACAGGCATCTGGGTAGCACTGTGAGAACAGGATGCTAGATGGGCCATTGGCCTGATCCAGTTGGCTCTTCCTATGTTGTTATCCACATATGCCTTATCCATTAAATGCAAACAGGCAATATTTGGTGGAATCCTTCAAACTTCGATGACGGAGTTTTTGTTTTCATAGTGGTGAGTTAACAACAAGATCTGAAGTGGACTCTTTGTTATCTTGGCAAAGGTTCCAGTGACTTAAGCCAAAAGTGCAGTTTCTGTATTGGGAATACTAACAGATCATTATTCTTACTCAGCTAATCAGTAACAAGCACTGTTACACTCATTCTGACAGTCAATTGCACTGCATATACTTGCTGGAAAATGTAATATCAGGGAGGTCTCACATCTGATATTCAACAAAAATTGCTGTACAGATTTTCACAGTAGCATACATGAAGGCATCCACCCCCCCCTTATTCTTATTTCTAATAAGCCCTTGGAAATGTAGAAATGAGAAACCTATCTTTGTGGAATGGATTTTTTTGGGAATTATTAAAAAGATCTATGTGCGTTATTAAGGGATATTAATTAGAATTTCAAACTTCAGCTGTATTTTCTCTTCCTACTATTATTGTTAGTCCCCATGAGATCTATTTAAGTGTTTGGCAAGCCACCTGAGATGAATTTATACCCCCCCAACTTCACACCTATTCAAATCTTGAGTGTCCCCGTTCTATTCCCTAGAATGTGTCCCCAAACTTGAAGCAAACTTTTATCAAGGCAACTTGTCTTTTGCTTCATTTTCTCAATTCTTTGTATTGTGTGTGTGGTCCCCGGCTCAGGATTAAGGAGTGGTTGACATGCATACGAAGGTGGTGGTTAGTTGATGAAGGCTCTGTGTGAAAGGAATTGAAGGGAAGATCTCCCAGGGTGGGAGGCTGGGAGAAGAAAGGAAAGCTCCTAGATGAGAGCTGGGAGGGCTTACCTTTCTCTGTGTGGGCCAAGCTAAAGTTTACCTGTGAAGGAGGACTTATATTCTCCCCCCTTCTCTTTCTCTCTTGGCTCTTTGTTCTTAGATTAGTTCGTTCTTTTATTGTAACATATTATGAAAAGTCTAAGGAAAATATTTTTTAAAAAGAGAAAAAGGAAGAAAAGAGGAAAGATGAAGAGAGAAAGGGGGCAGGGGAAGTGGAAAAACAACAGGCGACATACTCATGTCCTACTACTGTTGTTTAGAAAACAGTTTGCTCTAGTACCATAGCTCTGCCACTATTTAACTATTAGAATTCTACAGAGGATAAGATAATTCCCAGAAGGCAGAAAATTCCCAGGAAACAAAGGCCAGTTTTTGAACACTTAGAAACCAGAAATCCATCTCCTCAAAACCCACTAGGGCTTTTGCTGTCCCCATTCCATCCATTCTGGTGTCTGGTGCTTTGTTTCAGGATCCTGGCAGTTAAAAATAAAAGCATGAAGGACATTCCAGTGAGATGCAGAGGAGGAAAAGGTGGTTTCTGATGAGACAATTCAGCCACATGCTGAAGAACAAGGGAAAGGCTAGAGGCTGCAGTTCCAGGTAATCAAGGACAATTAAATAGAGAGTGATGGAAACCAGAACAGCAGCAGACCACGTAGTAAATGTGTCACTGCAGAAAAACAACAACTATGAATCAAGGTTGTTGGGTTAGGCCCTAACCCAGCAAGCTGGAATCTCGATCTGTGTGGTTTTCCTTTAGGAGGAGTGCTTTTCAGGCTGAGCAGAGCAGGTCCTTGAACAGGTCCGTATTACTGAGAACGGTAATATGAAACAAGAGAAATGTGTTCAGGTAAATTCCTCTGGTGACCATAATGGTTTCTCCTGGCAGATGTAGGGTAGACTGCCCTTCTTTTCCTTTGTGTTCCTTGATCCCCTTGTTTTGGCATGTCAGTATGAGGCATGGAATGGGAAAGCTTCATTGAAACACAGCAAAATGAGAAACTGAAGTTTCCATTCCTAGCAGCGAGTAGGAACAAGTGTCTTGTACAGAGTGGCTGAGGTTTCAGTCATTGCACTTAGGTAAGTGGGGGAAAGGTTGGTTCATGGCTGTTATGGTATAAGGGTGGGCAGCGTTGATTCCTGGCTGCCAGTAGGATGGCACATTCTCTCTCTCTCTCTCTTTTCCCCAGTCCCTTGCAACGACCTATGTGGATGTCTAGTCTTTGGAAGGAAAAAAGTTTGGAACCGTTGTCCCTCCTCCTTCTCCGCACAATGCAGTGAGGCATTTACAGAGGATTGGGAAAGGAAAGCTACGGATTCTCACGATCTGCTCTCAGCTGAAGATTTACCGATGGTTGTTCTCTGGGCGCTTGTGCCAAAAGAAGTGCTGCGTGTTCTTCCTAGGTGCAATATGATGGACTATTTCACAGTGAAATATGATGGGCCTATTAATAATTGCTGTCTCCTAGTCTGACCTTGAATGGAGCTCCGGTGAAATCCTTGTTAAGTTTCCTTCCCCTTTATTTACACCTGGGAGTGCACAGAACGTTTCCTGCTGCTGCCTGTGTAGTATGAAGACCCGTAGCATATCAATGCATGATCACTGACATCCTATTTGCCCTCTTTGGGGTATTGATGTAACGGCTTCCTGCTATGAAGCACCACCCCTCTCTCTCGCACACACACCCTTTCCCCTCCACCCATGCCCCCCAACTCGCTGCCTCCGCAGCTGACTTAGCAGGCTCCCCCCGCGCCGCCCCCATTGATCAAGCAGGCGTACCGGTCTCCTCCTCGCCTGCTTCAGACTGCAAAGCTCAGCAAGTCTCACTGCGGGCGCTTGGAAAGGAGTTGGGATAGAGGGGAGGGGCTAAAACCACCCTCCGGGGTTGGATAATGAACTGCACCACAGAGGCGGAGGCGGAGGAGAGAGAGAGCCCCTTCTCAATTAATGCAGGATCTTTATTCTATCGAGCCGCCTCTCCGCCAATGAGGTTGGAGCTCCGCAGAATACGGCGACGTACGGGAGCCCTGGAGGGGCGGGTGGGAAAAGCAACTGCAGCATTTTGAGGGACTGACCTGCCGGCTCGAAGTCTTCTGCCCGTCTTGGACTCTGTGTGTGCGTGTGCGGACGCTGGTTTCTCCGCACCGGCGAGCGAGTAAGTTTCACTTTCCTTCTTGTTCTTTGCTTGCATCTGTGTCCGAGGATGTACTTCGGGGTGCATCAGAAACCAGACCTTCCCCTTTCCTCCCGCCTCTTCTGGTGATTGATCGTTCCCTAAGTAGTAGCGGGGCTCTGGGACAAAAAGGTTTGGCGAGCGCAAGGGTGGGGAGAGAAACAAGATTAAGGCAACAAAACGTCTCTCCTCGCTTTTAAGTTTACTGCAGCAAGTGGAGTTATTTAGAGAAGCTAGTGGGGATCTCCTCGTCAGCTTTCTGCAGTTGGGCAGAGAATTCGCTGGCCGTGGTGCTGACCGGACGGTCAACCAGATCTTGTTTGGCCAGGAGTGCTGAACGGACAGCTCCCCGTGATTTGGCGGCGGTTTGGCGCAAGGCATCTTCCCCTTCAGGGTACAGAACTATGGAGATCCATGATAAAAGTGGCCGGTGGTTTACTTCTGATTGGAGCAAAAAAGAAGGAAAGGAAGAAAGCGGGCTGTGCCTTAGAATATAAGCATCTAAGCAAACAGCAACAACAAAAAAGACCCCATCCGTGTTTGTTCCTAATGATCCCAGGGAAGTCTCAAGATACCATTACCTGGTGTTCATGCCCCCACCTCGCCTTCAAGGTTATAGTCCAGACAGATGCAGAGGAAGAGGGTCACGCAAGCAGAGACACCAAAGTGGAGCAATTAGCATATGCACACACATGTACAGATATACTGTACAACACGTTCTGTTTCAGGACATGCTGCAATCTAAAAATGCTGCGGATTGGATGGTATGTGCACAATAGGTTTATATGCACCTGATCTGCAGCACGTCATATGTAGATCCCACTAGTGCACTCAGATACTGGTGCAATGTGCTGAATACAGAGCTGGGTTCCCTGGAGAGAGTGCATCGCTAACTTTCCTGATGCAGGAACGGAAGGGTTTCAGAATTCAAAAACCAGATGTCAGATCTAATGAATACGAGGTTTAAAGCGTAACAAGAACTCACATTTGGAGTGGGTTAGATTCATTGCATTGTGATTCATTGCAAGAAGTCAGTCTATTGGGATATGGAGCCTTTGTATTTCAAATCTGTGCCTGTCCGCAATGGTTGAGGCAGGGAATCACTCTCCCTGACATTGCTTAGAAGAGGTGCTGACTCAGCTCTCTCTGCTCCTGCTCAGCAGGGTAAGATGGTTCCCAAAAGGGAAAAACAAACTGGGAACAGAACAATCCACTGCACCAAAAGGCAGATGCATCAATGTCTAAACACTGACCAATAGGGTCAGGTGTGAGAAAGAGGAATTGAGAGGGAAAGAGAGAACCTGCAAGGAAAAGAAGGAACCGCTGTGTGTGGCATTCTGGGGCATGCAAATTAAAGTGGCCTTTCTACATGGGTGGAACTTGCTGTTAGTAATATGTGATTGTGTGCACAGGTACACAGCCATGTGCAGAGAGGTTAGCATGAAGTGGGTGGTATCTATGGTGAGCCCACACCTAACTCCATGAGTGCAATCGCTGAGGAGAGGTCATGAGCAATCATGGAGAGAGCTGCCAGCGCACTGCATGCACTGCCCAGTTGACACAAACCTTTCTCCACCCAGCCGTTTGCCTGTGCATATGAGAAACTCAGTAAGTGTGAACTGCCTCTATATTTTAGTGCAATGAGCTCTGTGAATAAGGGATAGGGGGAGCTTGGGGATTTCAGACAGTTTATATATTCTGGGTTTTTTTTTGGGGGGGGGGGGAGGAAATGTAACTGTTGGCTGACTCTCTGAGGGCTACTGCAGGATGAGAGCTCTGGGGATGAGTCTGCTGATTCTTGGCTGGCTGGCACAGGGCAAGTCACTTTCCAAGCTCCCAGTCTATTATAGCTCTGGAGTGCTTACAAGATGAGATGGGAGATAACGATTTTCCAGCTCCTGAGTCATTAGCTCCGTCTGTTCCTGATAAGGCCTTGCTCACCCTTCTTGCTGCAGTCTCCTTTTGGAACACACGCACAGCCTGAACCAGTTGTCTGTCATTTACTCCAGACCTAGATGGCCTCGTTATACGGGTGTCAAGGCTACTTTGCACTCTTAAGAGTGCAGGTCTGAGCAGCATTAGATTCTTGCAGTGCTCCTGGGTTAACTTTTCTGATGCTGCCATTGGTTCAGTGTGAGTCTCCTTCCACTGCTATACATCATACTGCTAGCTATAATGGGTCTGCAATAGTTCTGTGTGCCCTTTTTGGATGCTATAATGCTGGGGGGGGGGGGGCTCCTTGTAAAATGATCGGGTTTTTCTAGCACTAGATAATCCCACAGCAATTTTACATAAAGCAGGAAAGAAAAGACTTTGTGGAGAGGTCCCTGGAAGTCTTTGGTGCAGCTGCTGCATCCATCCATTGCCTCTGTAGATTGCTCCCTCTGGACTGCTTCATCATACATGAGATTTCCCCCTAGATAGAGAGCATCTCTCTGTGTGGGTGGTGATGGAATAAATCTATCATGACTGAAGTGTGCTTTGATTTTGCCGTGAGAACACGGATCAACAAACTGTCATGTGTGAAGCACTTTTTTAGAGTGTAAGCTCTGCAGCTATTGATATTGCATGGGTGGGGTGGTGACATAGGAATGTGAATGCCCTAATACTCAATGTTGACCTAGAGGCATGGATGTGTACGCTGTATGTAGTTCAGACACAGGATGAGGAGTATGTCTTCCCTTGTGTTAGGGATCTTTTTGTGTGCTTTTCTATATTTTTGTTGATCTCAGTAAATGTACACGGGTGGCTGTAAAAATGAAGCTTGGAATGCAAGTTAGTGTGTGCCAGGATACCCAGGATTTTCCATGTCCTGTTGTGATTACAGGTTTTTAATGGACATGGAAAGAAAGGCCGGGTGCTAAGGGGTATGTGTTTATGGGTGTGTTATGTACTATTTGGTGGGGATTTGAGAATGGAAGTCATTGGAGGATCCCACTGTTAGAGATCACTGAATGCAAAAGCATTTAATGAGAATGTAACTGTCAGGGGAGCATCAATGAATGCTGTAGTTTAACCGGCCCTATAGAAGATCCTATGGCATAAAGTCCAGATGAAAAATCACTAAAATGGACAACTATTGTGTGAAAGTCCTTTCAAGCCACAATGTTCTCTGAAGCTTAGCTGGCATGGCAGAGGCAGCATAGACATCAAGAAGACTGAGCCATCCTGATTTATACACCATCCCTTTCTACTGCAGGTACCCCTGCTCAGTTATAACTTGCTTGTAATGCTGGGGATCGTGGTAAACATCCAGGTTGAAAGTACATTCATGTTATATGTTCCCTATGCGTAAAAGCCATTCCGTCCAATGTGGTTCTTGAGGATGCTGTGCTGTTGTAAGTGGTTGCCTACACTGTGGCATTCTGGAAACTGTTCATTTTTGAACAGGGCAAAGAAATTAACTCTAAAGATGAAATCCAATGACATCTGTCTCTGTGGCTATTCTGAACTACTTTCATCCAGTGTTTTGTGTTAGTTGTTTCCACCCTGGTATTTCTTCCACAGCAGTGTATCAAGCATGGAGGCCAGAAGGTGCTCCAAGCTTCCTCTGCAGCCTGGATCTTTTCCCATCAGTGTTCAGCTGGCTGAGTAAATCAGCGTTTACAATGTCTTTATCACCATCCTGTTGGTAGCAGACATAGATCACCTGGCAGTGTGAGTGACTCACTTTAGAATCCCAGAGCCTTTTGAAATACAGCTACTGCTATATTGCAAGAGCAAATGGGGGAAATGAAGCGTGGGAGTCAATGGTCATTTCCCCAAAGCTGTCTAAAAAGGCATTTCCTTTTGATATCTGCTGACCCCTTCTCCCAACTTGCTCAGGCTTCAGCAGGCTGACTCCAGTGGTCAAGAGAAGGGAGTATGGGGAAACCTGGCTGCTTGGCATACATGATAGGGTCATGCCACTGGGTAGGGGGGTGATGAATGTCTGCATGGAAGAGGAAAAGCATTCATTCTCTGCAGACCACAACTGCACGTTCTTGAAATATGTCTGTGTGGCCAGGCAATTAGCAGCAGGAGAAAAGGATCAGCATATGCTAATACTCCAGGCTAAGGCAGGCGACACTGAGCAACTTCTATTGAGTGAGCGGGCCCCAGGCAAGAACTGGAATAAGCAGACTGGGGAGGAAGAGATGGTTCTGTTGGAGGCCTCTCTTTGCAATACCATGCACCTTGGCCATAACTGAATGGAGTGAACTTTTGGATTGTGGCCATGATGATGATGAATTATTTTTATGCTGGGTTACCCCAGCTACTCCGGGTGGCTTCCAACAAATTAAAACGCATAGAGGTCAGGTCTTAGTGCTGCAGGAGAAGCACAGTTTGTGTCTTTGGCTCACTATCAGGCATCTGTCAACTCAAAGTCATTAACTCACTCATCCCTTTCAGAGAAAATGGGAAGAAGGACTTTGACACATGTGACAACATTCTGGCATGTTGCTGAAGTGTGAATGGGACTCAATGGCTTTTACCAAGCAGCAAGACCCAACTATTTAAGGTCATGTAGTGAACAATATGGAGATGAGCTTTCAAGTATTCAACAACAACAACAACCATTCATGGTAGTGGAAGAATCTGAACTACAATTTAGCAGCTCATTATAAACTTCTAATAATGATCTGGGCAGTGTATCTCCCAATACCAGAAGCTGTGGTTACACAACCATGGCTGTTGCCTTTGCACTATCCTTGTGAATTTCTTGGAGATATTTAGCTGGCCCCTTTTGATGTAAAGGATGCTTCACAAATTGAAGCCTTTGTCTGAACCAGCAGAGCACTCCTTACTCTTATCAATACTAGACTTTTAATACTTAATAATTAGAATGGTTTTTGATTCTGTGTATTATATAGTTTCCTTTAACCTGCCTTTTGCTCTGTATGTTGATTGAATAATAAATTCTGGCTGAACCATTGATTGTGATTCTTATGTTCTGATATACTTGCTGCTACAAACCTTAGCCTGTATGTAGCTGATGGCTTTCTTCTGCTTGGTGTTTTGACGCAAGGGCATTTTGTCCTAATAGTAAGGTTCAGCACATAGCTTTGTATGATGACTGAGTGCCTCCTGCTTTTGCACAGTTGGTACCTGTATGATCCAGGTACCTGCATTCATCTTGGGAGACCTAGAATTCTGGAGACATATATCTTTCCTCCTACATTCCACAAATCCTGCCACCACTGCCCAACACTTCCTAACAGCATCACTCATGGCTACATAGCTGTGCCTGCTTGCAAAAACTTCCTAAGAGCCACACTATTTCCCCATGGTGGTCTGAGTATATTCCAAAGGTTAGAGACAGATGGATGCCAACAGCAACAATATGTGTGGGTCTCCTGGAGCCTGTTAAACAGTGTTTTATTAGACATATGCACCTATTT